CCGGCCATGCCTCCAAAGCTGTCCAGTGGTCTCCGCCAATTTTTTCGCCAGAAACTCGATGTGGGGTGCCCAAGTTAGCTGGTCATCAATCAACACACCGAGGTATTTTGCCACGTGTGTGACTTGCAGAACACTGTTGTTGCAGGTGACGAGTGACGGAGCAGCGTCAAACAAACCTCTGGGACGAATAAACATCACTGGAGTCTTAGCTGAGTTCAATAGCAAACCTTTGTCCTCAAGCCAGGACGAAAGATTGGTGACTGCTGTCGTGAGCACAGCACAAACAACAGCAGGGTCACGGTCGGAGTAATCAACAACGATATCATCTGCAAACTCTTGATTGCAAACTTCATGTGGAAGCACAGACGCTATATCACTTATGTAGAGAACAAATAAGAGAGGTCCAAGTACACTTCCTTGAGGAACACCTCTGGAGCATGGAACTGGCGTTGAAATCTGGTCTTTGATTTTGACACACTGTTGACGTTCGGACAGGTATGAACAAAACCACTGCAGCACCACACAACCAAGCCCAAACTCAAAGAGGATTTGAATAAGCTGGCGATGGTCAACTCTATCAAATGCTTTGGACATGTCAACCATGACGATGCCCGTGTGCTTGCGTTCAGATTTAGCTAATAACCAACGGTTGGTGGCAAGGATCAGGGCATCCTCGGTAGAATGACCCTTACGGTATGCAAACTGAGATGGGGGGAGTAGACAATGACGACTCAAGAAGTTTGTCATCTGTTACTTAACAAAATACTCCAATACGTGAGACGATAGGTAACAATGAAACAGGTCTATAATTCTTTGCTGATGTCGCATCGCCTCCCTTGAAGAGTGGGCTCACATGTGATCTCTTGAAGGAAACTGGCACCTTTCCACCGGATAGGGATCTGTTTATAATACGAGTTACATACGGACCTAGGGTGACTGAGCAGCGGCTAAGTACTATACCAGGAACACCATCGCTTCCAGTAGCTTTCGTGGGGTTGATGCACTGTAAGCACTTGGAAACATCAGGAATCTGAACTGCAGTGAAAGATGCCAGTCCCACTGAGCCAGTTGGGCCAGCTGGCATTGGCAATGTGGCTGGTCGATGGGGATCATGAACAATGGCTCCAAATGCATCATTTAGCTCTGTGACAGTTACTTGTGGTGCGTGCCGACTCTTCGTTCTGCCTGTTTCGGTGTTCATGACTGCCCAAAGCTTCTTCTGATCTGCTGTAGCACATTGCTCTTTGAAATAGAGATTTTTCAGCCGCCGGTCAAGGTGCCTGGCTTTGGCTCTTGCTTCTCGGTGAGCAGCACGTAGTATATCATCTGCACGATTTCGCCGAAGGCGACGGTGAAGCCGGTTTCGCTCTCGAACACATGCGACAAGTTCATCTGTGAACCAAGGGCAAGGACGACTTTCCTTACGACGGTGCAAAGTGATCGGAGCATGCTTATTGAGAGTAGTAACAATGGCATCTGTGACAGAGCATGCCATACTATCGATTGAATCCTCGTTAAATGATGAATTCAGTGTAGAGGCTAGGTCCACTTGAAAAGTATTCCAATCGACACGATGAAGGCGACGGCTCTTTGTCATCGTCGTCAGGCGAAATAGCACGTCATCGTACATTTGAGATCAGCGGGAAGAAGATGACGACGTCCACTAATTTAGTATCTGTGCACACGAATCTGCTGTGTGTGTGACTCTGTGTGTCAGCTATGATATCATCTTCTGTGGTTCCATGCCTAGCATGTACGTCTGAACCATCCTGCAAAGTTTGAATGACGTAGGTTGAGCGATCGCTCCGCGAAATATACTTTTCGAAATTCTCTTCATAGTATATCTTCCACCATTGAAATTTCGAATTTCTTCAAAAAAAGTGCTGAGAGGGGTGGCTTGCAACCTCGATATGGCTTGTTCCAGGCATGCTTTGGAGCCATCTTCTGTTGAAGTAGTGGCAGGGATCTGCCCTGCAACTGCTACAACAAAAAATGATTCGAGCTGAGAAAGGGTGAGACCGCGAATCTCGGTTGAATATTGAGTATTTCAAGCCTTTTCACGACGAAGATGGAATTCTTTTTGGAGATGGACGTCGCGGCAAAGGACATGGTGTCCGACGTCTGGCGTCTGGTGAAGCCAGGGATCATTTGTCCAGTCAGGTCGGCAGCCTAACCGTCGGTAAGCTTGTGTTTGGATCCCGTTCTGCTCGATGTGGTAGATCACAAACAATTTGATATCGCACAAATTGATCTCAGCATCGTGCGTACGGTATTTTATATTCAGAAAATCCCAAAGTGTCTCTGTGTGGGCGTCCTATGCCACGAGAAACTCCAATCAGGCTCCTATGTCCTCTGCCTTCATGATTGAATGTCCACTTCGTCTGAACAACGAACACAACAATCGAGGACAGCTTTGCACTGAAAAATACAGCTATACTGGAGCTGAAAAAAAGAAGAAAAAAACGTGCTCAGGATGAGACTCGAGTACACGCATACTCTCCCGGATCCCAGCAGGTGAAACGCAAATTTTTGTGAAAAATGCGTGACGCCGACTGACCAGTAATTTCGCCTGACGTTCACCCTGGCGTCTTGGGCTAGATTTGCAAGGAAGACGAGCTAAGACAGCATAATGGTCGCTGATATCCAGGTACACAATTTCACAAGGACCTTGAATGGGGGTGGTGGACAGGAATAGGTCTATGGTAGATTGTGAGTGACTCGTGACTCTGGTAGGAGCGTTTACGTAATTCTGTAAGCCAAAACGGGCGAGGATGCGATGTACAGGGTGTGCAGAACCAGTTTGCGTGTTGCCAAAGTCAACATTCAGATCACCAATAAGCACAGTAGATGATTGACGACCTTGGCAAGCACACTCAACGTTCTCCTCGAAATCTTCCCAGTATGCAGCACGCATGTTGGGTGGTCGGTATGCGCATCCAACAAATATGCTCTGCTCGCCAGTGCCAAGCTCAAGCCATAGTTGTTCTAAGGTCTCACATTCCAAGTCCAATCTGCGACGTATTGCTAGCGACTTATGAAAGTAGACACACACACCTCCACCATGCAATCGGCGGTCTTTACGAAACAATGTATAGTTAGGAATTGAAATCTTGCCATCAGTTACTGAAGGTTTAAGCCAGGTCTCTGCAATTCCAAACAGATGTATGCCCCTTGAGGACATGAACTCCTTGACTTCAGCTACTTTAGTGCGCAAACTACACACGTTCAGAAACGCAATTGCTGCTGACAGATTCATGGGTGACGATTCAGTCCATAGCCTGTCCATCTCCAACAGACTCGTTGGCGACGGAATTGGAGCGATCATTGGATTCATTTTGGGGCTTCTTGGTGTCCTCAAACTTCCACTGCCTGGCGTACACTGGCTTGGGCCGGAATCGTCGGTGTTGAACAAAACCGCTGGTGCTAGAGTTTATAACAATCCGTGCAGATGACGAGTCTGCCTTCGAGAACACTATGGAACTGTAGACACGAACAGAAACACCAGCACTATCCGCTCTGCTCACAACGACGTTTTCCAGCTGCTCCACTGACATATCCTTCTTCAAATCTCCTATGAACAAGACACTCTTTCTCTCTTTTGGCTTTTTTCGATGTGATGACCTTCCACTGTGCACCATTGCAATCACTATCTTCGGACAAATCTTCAAACTTTTGAAGACGGGAAAGCGCATCACTTGCATCGCCAGCCGTGACCTGACCATGCTGGGTGTCGTGGGAATCCCTATTTGAATCCGTTTGAAAGTCGCCGATTGAACCAAGCGGGGTCTCAACCGACGCCAACGTACTAGAGGTCGTACGGTCTTTTCTGTTGTTGCTTCCACTCTGCTGTGCTGCTGTGTGCTTACGTTTCTTCTTCTTCTCGCCTGCACTGGCAATGGCGGCCGAGCTAGTTGATGTTGACTCAACCGAATGCAAAGTAGCATTGGTGATCATCAGCGTCAAATATTGTACTTGTTGAGTCAACAGGTCTATGCGAACCTTAAGCCTCTTCTCCCTGTCTTCCGCTGCACTTCGCTCAGCTTGGAACAATTCTACGAGCTGGGCAAGAGAAGTTTGAGAGCTGGACTCCGGCATTGCGCAAACAGTTGGATCAGGATCACCAAATTGGTCTTGGACATCTACGCTTATCAATCCTGAGCTCATTATTGCAAAGTCTAGCCACAATGGGCTCACCTTACCAAAAATACACCACTGAAAACCAGAGCAAAAAAACTCTCTACTGCACTCCAGGGTGATTTGTATGTAAAGTAAAGTAAAGTAAAGTAAAGTCGGCGGAATAGCGCGAGCTCCGGTGTGGGGAGCAAACCATTTCTTATATACCCAAAGTTATTTTAAATTGATATATATTATTCCATTTTGCCATTTTCTGACCATTTTTGTCGACTTTCAGCCATGATTTCGGGAGATAGTGTTAGGATTTTCAGGGAACAACATGCATGTATGCTTGCAAGAATTTTATTCACAAAACATCTTCTATCAAGTAAGGTTTAGTTCATTCAGGGCTGTCTCCGTATCTCACCAACTCATCCAGCTGCCAATAGTTGCCACGGAATAATGAATCTCACTCTGCACTTTCAGCGCTGCTGTCCTCGTCGCCACTTCGTCTGATGTTTTCAGTATGTTTTAGTCACTTCTTCACCTTCACCCTGTTTTTGACCTATTCAGCTAAATTTTATTGTTTCCACGCGTATAGCGTGAGGTTCTCGATCTATGATTTTTGCTGTAGCACTTATAAGTTGCTGCATTTTGACATTTTTCCATTATTCCCTGTACTTACCCATGATGAGAAGGGAACGAAAACGTTCGGTTACTAAATTGGCTTACTTGACTGTGTGGATTGCATCGGTGCTGACACCTTTTCTTTCAAAATTGATAAATTTCAATTAATTTTTATAATATACATGTGCAAGCAGGCCAATGATTATAGCTGCGCAAAATACATGTGTGACACTTGAATGCAGCTTAGTAAAATTACTTACAAATGTATAGCACGGTTAAACATTTTGTCAAACACACCAGGAGTAATATTGGTCAGGACAATGTCCTCAACATATCTGAGAGTGGCGACACAAAATATAGATTGAGTGCATCAGCATGCAGTAATACGCGACTTAATCGTTGTTGCAGGGGAAACTAAATACCGTACTAGCGTGATTTGCACCCCTGGGGGACTATTATTCAAAGTCCATCACAGATGGAGCAGTATTCCAGAGAGGGCACTATTCAAGAGAGGGCACTATTCAAGAGAGGACACTATTCAAGAGAGGACACTGTTCAAGAAACAGCGCTATTCAAGAGAGGGCACTATTCAAGAGAGGGCACTATGTCACGCGAAACTAAGCATCTATGAGCGACATCTACAGAACCTGCTGGGGAGTACACGTGCACTCGAGTCTCATCCTGAGCACGTCGCATCCCTTGCCCAGCTTCCGTGGCCAGGGCCTCCGCAAGCTGACGGACCAAGAGTGTGTCCAGCTGCGAGCAATGGGACACTGCTTTTTTTGCAGGAAGCCAGGCCACCTCGCTAAAGACTGTTTGAGGGTGGACAACGCTACCCAAACCCTGGTCGCCAGTAAGAAAGGGGGTGTGCTTACTAGCGACGAACCAAGCACCCACAGAAATGTAAGCCATCCTTGCCAAAGAAAAAAACTTACACTGAATACCAAACAGGGCAACTAATAACATTGTTGCCTCGGCAATGGCAACTTCCACACCGCGTCACATTCTGGTTAGTTTCTGGCTCAGCCAAAGCCATCTTGCCCATACAGATCAACATCTGCAGAACATATTGAAGAGGGAAGAGAACAGGGTTGGTCCATTTCCACTTTCAGTCGTCGGCGTCGGCATTATTGCTTCAAATCGCTATGCTCAAAATGTTTGGCAGCCATTAAGAGATAAAAGAGTGAGATTTACGTATTATTGATTGTTGAAAATAACAAGTAAAAAGGTGGCAAGGAGATAACAATTAAAAAAAATGCAATAAAATATTTCGTGTTCGTCAACGTCAGAGTCACTGTCAGCAAGTAGCGCTTTTTGTAGTTAGACCGCATTGTCACGTTAATAACTGGTCTCGTCATCGTCCTGTGGAGGTCGGCATTCTTTGTGACCGTGAGACTTAGCTTGTGGAAATTGTCGCTGCGTTCGCCTTCCCCTCGTTGGTCTTACCATAACCTTGAACCTTCCAAACTGGAAGGATATTGGTTTCCGCACTGGACATGTGTTAGAGCTAAGCCTCAGGTCGTTGCATTTCTCAGTAGCCTGCCAGTTTTGTGCCCTGTTATAGCACTTTCTAACTAATTATTATCTTGTTACAGTCGTGGATAGTTGCTTTATAACTCATTTCCACATGATTTCCTCTATTTTAATTTCATTTAGTGGCTCAGTATCCGAGCTAAATTTTCACACGTGATGAGCCGTCATGAACAATACGGCGAAACGTATGTCGTGTGAAACTACCTGTTATCGTAGTCAATTCATCCACAATAGTTTCATGCATGAAGAGTTCCATTAGATATTGGCGGCCGGTTTCGTTTAAATCGTTTTCGCAAAGCTTCCCCTTTCCATATCCCTGATATTGTTCACCCACCCCAGCTGGGTGGTGTGTTGCTCTGCTACTTCGAATTGTAGCTAAACAGCATTGACACGTTATTAACTGGTCTCATCATGGTCTTGTAACGGTCGGCATTCTTTGTTACTGTGGGACTTATGACAAGCAATAGACGAATCGTGCTTCTCATAACTAACATTATAACAATAAGAATGTCCAGTGGACCAGTCCGACATCAAATGCGTAGCGTTACTGCTGAGAAGTATGATTCATCCGTTGCTTGACATTTGTTAGAACATCCTGAAAATCAACCAGTGTAGTCAGATGATTGTTCTTTCAATTTTGTCACGTGCACGCATTGCTACTTGTTGCCCGTCACCAGCTCAGGATCAGCTCCCCCAGAAGCGGAAGGAGAATCTGAAGATTTCTCAACACTGAACGAAGACAGGCTGAACGAAAACACGGACTAAAAACTACTAGCGCCAAGACAAAACTGACACTACTAGATTTTGTTCGCAACATTTCAATAAAACCTTCTTGAAACGACGCTTCTTTTTCATTTGCCCCATTTTATCCAAACATAACATGGGATTCGAAACCACGCCATCGCCCTGCATGCATTCCCCCGATAAACTTCTCAGACATACACATGCTTCGAAGTTGCTTCACGTTATGATCTTGCAATCGAAAGCACTATTTGAATTAAAGCCAGCTGTCTTTGATGGTACAGTGCATGTACGGGATAGGGCGAGGCCCGACGATGCAAGACACAGATATCGAATTAAAACTGTGTGGACCCTAACACAACGTCTTTTGGGTAGCTACGGGAATGAGAGAACTTGAAAGCTCAGTGGCCTACGCTATACATTTTTGCCTAGCTCATCATGCATGTTATTAGAACTGATTGGCTACATTATTGTGTGGAAAAAGCGTTTCCGTTATGTTAGTAGACTCCTTAGCCATTATTAGTACTTGTATCCACGTGTCATACACAACGGTATTCCACATTCATCGCATACTGTTTCTCTTTGTTCAGTTTCTTTCCCGTCTTTCCGCTCTGTATTCACTCTTTCTTTTCCTTTCCAAGATCTTTTTTCGTTTGGTGTTGTTCAGCAACTGCTCTCAACTGGTGGCGGTGTAATGTTGTGACTTTGTACACATGTTACATGCACATCATTACTCATAAAGATCAAGATCCGTCCTTCTCTCTCACGCATGTTTCCTCTTTTCCTTTCCTGCATTTTTCTACCTTGGCATGCACAACGGTTTTCCTCATTCAGCGCATAATTTTTCTCTTTGTACAGTTTCTTTCCCGTTCTCTTTGTACAAAAGCATAGCGATGTTATAATTTTTTATTTCTCCTATGCGCTTCGCTTAATCTTCTCTGTCAAAAAAGCACAGCGATGTTTTTTTTTCAGGTGTGCAGGAATGGACTCAGATGGAGAGCCAAGGTTCAATTTATACAAAAGAGAAAGACTAGAACCTTCCAAGTTGGAAGGCTGTTGAAGTTCGCATCCTAGATGTGCTAGAGCTGTTAGCCAGTTAGTTGTAGAACGTCAGTACCGTCGGTCAGTGTTGTGCAATGTTATCGCATGAGCTGATAGTTTAGTAACTGGTGGTGTTAGTGGACAGTATAGCGTAACTTGTAGTTCCTTGGTCTTTCTCTTTTGTATAGATGTTTTTTTTCATTTGTCCTATTCTTTCAATACATAACATGGCCGGGATGGGATTCAAACCGGGATTCAAACCGGGATTCAAACCGGGATTCAAACCGGCACTATTGCCTTGCATTCATTCCCCCGATACACTTCACATACATACACATTCTTCCAAGTTTCTTCACGTTATGATCTTGCATTTGAAAGCGCTATTTGAATCACGTGACCAGCTGTATTTGATGGTATGGTACGGGACATGTACAGGATAGCGCCAGGCATGCCGACATCGGCACAAACAAATAAACAAACAAATACGGAACGAGAGAGCTTGGAAGCTAAGGGCCCTGCGCTATGCTTTGTTGCCTAGCTCATCGTGCATGTTGTTAGAACTGATGGAAATGCTTTTCCTTTGATTAGCTACATCATTGTATTGCAAAAACGTTTCAATCAGATACTGAAGTAACGTCTTCTGCATAGCTATGGGACCGGCGCTGACTCTGCCGATCACGGGCGTTCTGGAGTCGACGGGATGTCTGTCCTGACGTTTCCTGGGACCGGCGCTGACTCTGCCGATCACGGGCGTTCTTCTTCTTCTTATTATTATACTGACGGCAACTAACATCCATTCTGATTGCATTTACTCGTCTCCCTACTTCGTATTTCTTTCCAGAAAATCTCCCCATACAGCAGGGAGTCGTTTACATAATATGACTCCCTGCTATACATCTACATGACTGTATATACGTTATAATTATTATACTATCGGCCTACATGCGATTTCCGGGCTGGTCGACAGGCGGCCCAGCCAGCCTGCTATTGGGATCTCGGCCTCGCACACAAGTTACTGCACTGAATGCATTCCCCCGATACACTTCGCATATATACTCATTCTCTTGATGGTACCGTACTCTTGATGGTACGGGACAGGTACGGGATAGCGCCAGGCATATCGATGGCACAAACAAACAAAAATATTGTGGCCAGCTGTCTTTGCTGGTACCGTACAGTACGGGACAGATACGGGATAGCGCCAGGCGTGACACAAACAAACAAACACACAAACAAACACCAAATTAAAGCTGTGTGGACCCTGGCTAGCGCCAGACGTTACTGAAGTAATGTCTTTTGCATGGCTACGGGAATTAAAGCTGTGTAAACCCTGGCTAGCACCAGCCATTACTCAAGTACTTTCTTTTGCCTAGATGATTTTTGCGCATGCGCACAAATACCTTAACACCGAAGGCGCATGCTCTATTCCCAACAAACTCTCACGCGCTCATTTTTCTCCGAAGTCCACTGTTCCTGATTTCAGGACTTGCTGTGTCCGCATTGGCAGTGGATTTCTTTCTCACAGTGAACTAGGAACTGACGGAGACATTGGTGAAAACACACAATACGGAAACAGTGTCAGTGTAATGATTGATACCTTCAGATGCTAATTTCTAATTTGATATGCACTTTTCGGCTATTAGTGCCATAATTACCTTGGCTGTTACCAATAGTACATAACCCCCCAGAGTGTGCAATGCCTGATCCAGCTCTGCATAGGGTCTTGGTCGAGGGTAATCAGATCTTCTGATGGCATGCGTACACTCCACACCAGCGCAAGGCCGGTCTCCGGGCAGAGCATCGTTGTTTTTGAGAATACCCGCGATTCCCCGGGTTCCCGTCAGATGTGTACGATATTATGACGCTACGATCCGATTACGCTCGACCAAGATCCTATGCAGAGCTGGATCATGTATCGCACACTCTGGGGGGTTATGTACTCTTGCTCTTACTTATCTTTCGGCATCTTCGGTAATCCTGACTACCATACACTTATAATTTTTACACAAAGATACTTTCGGCAACTTTACGTCTAAGTCCGTGTATCACATTGGCAGCTTTGGCATAAGTCCATACTCACAAACTATCGCCAGCCCATGTATTGTGGGGACTGCCCTATTAGAATATGAACGAGAGAGCTTGGAAGCTCAGGGCCCTCCGCTATGCTTTTTTGCCTTGATGACCTAGACAAAAAAAGCATAGGGATGTTAAAAATTCTTTAAAAAATTCCTTTTTTTAAGACATAACCTGGGATTCGAACCCGCACTATCGCGCGCCCTGCATGCATCCCCGATACACTTCGCATACATACTAATTCTTCCAAGTTGCTTCACGTTATGATCTTGCATTTGAAAGCCCTATTTGAATATGCATTGTGGCCAGCTGTCTTTGATGGTACGGTACGGTACGGGATAGGTACGGGACAGGTACGATCGAAGGTAATACGATACCGTCTACCACCTTGATGACGGCAAAAAAGCATAGGGATGTTATAATTTTTTCAATTCTCCTATTTTTTTTTAGGCATATCCTGGGATTCGTACCCGCACTATCGCTCTTCATGCATTCCCCCATACACTTCGCATTCATACCCATTCTTCCAAGTTGCTTCACGTTATGATCTTGCATTTGAAAGCCCTATTTGAATAGTGTGGCCAGCTGTATGTGGCCAGCTGTGTTTGATGGTACGGTACGGTACAGGACAGATACGGGATAGCGCCAGGCGTGACACGAGCACACAAACAAACACACAAATACCAAAATAAAGCTGTGTGGACCCTGGCTAGCGCCAGACGTTACTGAAGTAACGTCTTCTGCATAGCTACGGGAATAAATACTAATAACAGTAATAATAATACTCACTGGTTTGAGGGAAAGACACAAACAGGATACAAGCATAGTAAGAAAAATGTGCTATTTTTCTTACTATGCTTGTATCCTCGCTGTTCCACTCCAAGTGTATAAATCCTATTGTAGTTTCATCATTCTCTTTAGTCACGAATTCCATTGATAATTCTGACAAGAAAACGTTCTGGAATACATTATTCGTCCCCATGGTCGTGATATGAGTGCGCATTTACTTATATTCATTGCATTATTAAAAAATTTAAATTTTCACCGCTCACGTCCGCACAAAGCCCTTGGGTACAAAAAAAATCTCTCCAAATCTCTCCAAACCAAACTTCAAATTCCTTTCCAAATTTTCGCCCAAGAGGGCATCTTCAGGGATATGTGGGCAATTTTCTCCTTACTCCAAACTCTTAGCGGCATACATGTGTATCGGGAAAGCCTTCCTTACGAGATCTCCAATCTCTTTTAAACTGTCACCAGCAAATCCTATACAGTCACAGGATTTGGTTTCTGGCTAAAGGATGTCGCTAAACAACCTATGTAAATTGATGAAAATTAATGGGTTTCATGGGGGTGTTTGGAACTGTTTTCCATGCATCTCTGTAGGAAAATCCAAATTTCAAGCCGATCGGCCAAATTTCGGGGTGAAACTTCCACTGTAGTACAGGTAAAAGCACTAGATATGCCAACCTGTGGCAGTGCTCCCCAATCAGTCGCAGCCATATATTCATGGTATCTGTGTACTTATTCAGCATACTAAGCATTTATACCCGTAGCTATGCAAAATATGTTACTTCAGTAACGTCTGGCGCTAGCCAGGGTCTACACAGCTTTAATTTAGTGTTAGTTTGTTTGTTTGTGCCATCGGCATGCCTGGCGCTATCCCGTACCTGTCCCGTACCGTACCATCAAGGACAGCATCGTGCATGCCTGGCGCTACCCCGTACCTGTCCCATTCCGTACCATCAAAGACAGCTTTTTTTATTTTTTTTACTATGTTCACATAACCAGCTCGAAAAGAATAAGGAAAGACAATGGTACGGAGACTAGGACAAACTGACAACTAATGAGCAGGCGCTGTGCCGAGATGCAGCAGTGATGGTGGGGCATTTATGACTGCCAGCTGGCCACAATATTCAAATAGGGCTTTCAAATGCAAGATCACAACGTGAAGCAACTTGGAAGAATGAGTATGTATGCTAAGTGTATCAGGGGAATGCATGCCAGGCGACAGTGCGGGTTCGAATCCTAGTGTATGTCTTAAAAAAATAGGAGAAATGAAACATTTATAACGTCTCTATGCTTTTTTTGCCTGGGTCATCAAGTTGGTAGACGGTGTCGTATTACTATTACTCTCGAATGCAAAAGAGAAAGTTGACTCTCGCTAGGCGAAAAAGCATAGCGTAGGACCCTGAGCTTCCAAGCTCTCTCGATAATTACTTTCCCTGCCAGTTCTATCATCATATGGATCAGTTAGAACACTGTACTCAAAGTAGATAATGCAGAACACTCAAATCCTATATAATGGGATCCAACAAAGAATTGACATGTCCTCTCTCAAACTGCCCTGTAAGTCAAGTAATAATACCGGCACTCACGGTTGAAAACTTCTGAAGAGAACCTACTGATACTGCCCTAACACCTTACGGTACCATTTAGGCACACAACTTATCACGGGCGGAAACATGGCCATGATTATTGGAAATTGTTCCAGAAATCCTATATATAGGATTTGACAGTTTAAGAGATATGAGACATCTCAACTACGACACCACTGATCTTTCTGTTACTATTCCGAAATGATACTTGATAAGCAGACACATGCAAGCAGTCATAAAATTCATTCACCACAAAATGGCTTCTGGCCGCAATTTGGATTGGAATTGTACAAAGTTTGCAGCGAAGAAACGCCACTTGCATTTGAGACAGTGACGAGATTTTTCAATATTTCCGATATCGGTATAATAATTATACTTTAGTTTTTTTTGGTTTATAAAACCAAACAAGAGTGGCCACACACGGTCGAGTGCAATCTATCATTATTATTATTATTATCAAATTTTTGATAGGGCAATCCCACAGGCCTAAGGCCTTCTTACAGGGTATCCTAGAAATGAAAGTACTGAATTACGGAATAGGTGCAGTGAAGAGCATCAGCGGACTGCAGCGGGGAGTGCATTCCAACGGTCGGAACCGATGAAAGAAATTGAAAAGAGACCGAAACGAGTTTTAGCTTTTGGTCGAGTGACAGACGCATCATCACCTACCAGTATCGCTAGAGTCCTCATCTTGGCACCTTGACAAGAACAGCTTTACCAGTCTCTTCTACAGCAGGCTTTCTACCTTCACTAGAGAAAAAGGAGAAGCTTCCAACGCAACAGGCCTCTGTATAATGATGTCTGTTTCCTGTATGTCAACCCTATACTTCTACGTCCCTTCACGAAGTGGAAGCGTATCGGGATGCCTACATGTATGTGCGCGTGTGGCGACAAAAACTTCCAAGTCACGAAGTGAAGCAAAAAAGGGGCTTCTCGTACTATGTAAGACTTAGTATAGTGGTTAGGTAGAAACGGGCTTCCCGTACCACAATTTAGGGGTTTTGGTTGGTTTTTATTTCACTTCGCACATTCAAACGGGATGACGACCCAATAAAATGACGGCGAAGGCTTAGCCTAGAAGTTGCTATGGAAGAACATAGTAAAAGCTATGGAAGCACATAGTAAGAGAATAGGATACTAATAACTGCGGGTAAACGGGGGGAGAGAGAGAATACGATGTATCTGTGATACTACGTGCGGGTTACTGAACTGCACGGGGAGGGAGAGCAGAGCAATCAGCAGCAACTCGAACTACTCCCTACAGGCGTATGGTACACATGCATGCTTAAACTCAGGTAGCCGGGTAATTGTGCGGACCTCACCAGGGAGAGCGTTCCACAGCAGAGCACCAGCAACAGAAAATCTCCGCTGACCGCGGCGGGTACGGTTTGCCTGGCTTAGTAGGCCATTTGACTGCTGATGGCGGGTAGGGGTGCCTTGTGCCGGGGTCAGAAGCTGGGCGAGCACAGGGCTGGTGCGGGCGTTGATGCACCGCCAGATGGTGATCAATATTTTCTGCCTGTAGAGCTCGCTGACACGGTACAGGGAGTGAGCAGTGAGCAGCGGCTGCATGGCTGTCCGGGGCGGGTTGCCATCGATACAGCGGATGGCTCTGTTTTGCGTGGTTTGCAGTCGTTTCAGTTGACCCTCTCGCATTGCGGCTGAAAAACAGCAGGAGCCATAAAGCAGGTCGGGCATTATGACCGCCTTCACATACACCTGACGAGAGCGTCTTGATAGGCTTCGGCGTGCCCGCCACAAGGCGCCAATTTTCTTGGCAACCTTGGTGACCACATAGTTTACATGGGTGTCCCAATCTAGGCGATTGTCAAGGTGAACGCCGAGGTAGCGCGCAGAAGACGCTGAGGGGAGGAGACAGTCGCCGCTTTTGACTGTTACTTCCTGTACATGCTGCTGGGGAGAGATAGTCAGAACCTGGCTCTTGGTGGCGTTCAAGATAAGGCCTCGGGACTTCAGCCAACCGGCCAGAGCAGTTGCCGCTGTGGTGAGGGTTCTGGACGCTTCCGCCGCTGAGGCCTGGGAGTCGTACAGGGCTATGTCGTCTGCAAATTGTACACTTGGCACAGGCGAGGAAACCAAAGGGACATCGCGTGTGTATATACTGAAGAGGACAGGGCCGAGAACAGAGCCTTGGGGCACTCCGCAGGTGCAAGCCAGAGCAGGGCTGGTTGAAGGCGAGATGAGGATCTGCTGCTTGCGGCCGGACAAGTAGTCGACGAACCAACTAAGGGCTTTTCCAGAAATTCCAACCGCAAGGAGGTCTTGAATTAACTTGTCGTGGTGCACTTTATCAAAAGCCTTCGACATGTCTAATAGGCACAGCCCTGTGGTCTTGCCACTGTCTCTCGCCTTCTGCAGATTATCAGTCAGCACACAGAGGGCGTCTTCCGTGGAACATTTCTTGCGGAAGGCAAATTGTGTTTCGGGTAATGCCTGGGTCAAGTCCAAATGACGAACTAACTGGTGTTGCACTACCCTCTCCAGCAACTTGGACACTATTGGGAGAAGGGATACAGGCCTATAGTTGGTGGGGACTGATGGGTCACCGGCCTTGTACAGTGGCACGACAGACGCCAATTTAAATGCGGATGGAATGGTTCCAGTCCTCAGCGAGGTGCAGAACAGCACAGCAAGAGAATATGAAAGCAAGTCAGCACACTGCTGTAGCAGAGAGCCCGGTATGCCGTCACTACCTGTGGCTTTCCGCGCATCCAACTTCTCAAGGAGATGTCGGACGTCAGCAGGAGTCACAGGATCAAGTTCGGTCAAGGAGACAGGTCCAGCGGGACCGTGCGGGGTACAGAGTTGTTCAGGACGGTTGGGATCGGTGACAATGGAGTGAAACGTGTCGGCCACCTCGCTGATGCTACAACTAGGATCTTGGCGGCGACGTGAACGCCCAGTGACTGCATTTAGAATGGCCCAAGACTTCCTAGGGTTGGCCACATTTTCTTCGCACTGACGGGAGAAGTACTCGTTTCGCTTGCGCCGATACGCGTTCCGAGCAGTGCTACGTGCTTGTTTAAACTCTGCATACAGTGTGCCGTTTGTCCTATCCTTCCGCCAACGGCTGTGCAGCCGCCGTTTACGCTGTTCGAGCTGGTGCAGCTCTCTGTCAGACCAGGGAGGTATCGCCCTCCGGGAAGGCTTAGAGTTGTGCAGCGGGGCATGCTTGTCCAAAACGTACAGGAACTTAGTGTGCCACTCTTTCCACATGTGATTTACATCATTGTGATCCGAAAAATCATGTAGAGAAGCCTCAAGGATATCTTGCCGAAAAGAGTTGTCAACGCCACGTATATTCCTGGTCAGCCGCGACGTCGTGGATGACGCGGGTGGAACGTCAACGGCAAGCTGAATAAAGGCTTCCACAGCGCTGTGGTCACTAATATCAGTGGGCACAACCGTTGCTAGGGACACTAGCGCCGGGTTGGTCAATATGAGATCGATCATCGTGCCTTCAGGGCACTGTGGAGTTTCACGGGTCGGCTGCATGACGATGTTCTGGAGGCCAAACGCAGCACAGAGGTCGGTGAGGTGTTTGTGCTGGGGTGCCGGATGGGCTGGGTCCATATTTACATTAAAGTCTCCAACTAGGGTCACGGAAGAAGACTGCACAGCTGCTCGTACAATATCTGCTTCCAAATCTGCCCAGTAAGACACTGGCTCCCCCGGTGGCCGGTACACGCAACCAACCAGGTGTCGACCTGGTTTTCCGTTTATTTCTACCCAGACTGTTTCTGTAGATTCAGAATGCAGATCTGGGCGGGATCGAACTGGGAGATCTTGACGGTAGTAGAAGCAGACTCCGCCACCCAAGCGTTGAGTGCGGTCTTTTCGAATCAGATTGTACCCGGCAATACTGAGCTCTCCGTCTGTAATCTCGGGATCTAGCCATGTCTCTGATAGACCCAAGATGTCGTACTGACGCGTGCGGATGAGGCTGGCAATCTCTGGCAGTTTGTATCTTAAACTACATGCATTGAGCGTGGCTATTTTGATGCCAGACTGAGTCGGCGTAGATGCATGGGGTATAAAAGGTGGTGCATGAGGATTGAGAGGGAGAGTCATAGTAGGGGCTAAAATGTTGATGCAGATAGATACAGACAAATGCGGAATAAGCCAATGAGACAAACAATGCAAGGCGCGCAACCTCTAACAACTTACAAGCTGTCCCTTCGCCTGCTCCCGAGCTTTCGCTGGGGCATACTCATCCGAAGCCTTGTGACGAGTTGACGAATGGCTTTGCTCTCCTCACTCTCAGTCACCTGGACTCCTTGCTTTGTAGCCGGAGTAATAACACGTGCTGGGAACGTGTGTTTCCCACGAGCCAGCTTGAAGCCTTGGTCATCGGGTGATGGGTGACCAGCTTTGCCTCTACTCATCGGGAACGCGGGTGTGGATGAAGATGTGGGGGCAGTCGCCTCGGTTCGAGCACTCGTGCAGGGAGTGTGAACTCCCAACGCATTGGCGTACGTCCAAGGTTGTGGTGCATCAGGGACATGATCCTGTGCCTCCTTGTTCACACTGCCTTCTTGTTGCTGTTTTGCTGGTGTTGGTAGCGCTGCCACTTCTTGGTTTTCCTGCCCCTGCCCAAGTGGTTCTTGGGGTGGTCCAAGCTCGCTTGTTGACGTTGCAGCTCCCGGACTGGGCTTGGTGCCCTGCTGCGAGATCGCCCTGCAGTCCCTCGCCACGTGGCCGGGGGTGCTACATTTCCAGCACGTGGGGGTCTGCCCTTTGTGCCAAACTCGCAGTTTGTACCGGCCTACGGTGATGGAGCTGGGGACAGCGATTGTGGGTACCATGGTGTAGTATACGATACCTGTACTGAAGGTGCAGCCCTCAACCGTCTTTTTCTCGTTTTTCGCGGGCCCCAAGAGTGTCCCAAAACGACTCAGTGAAGACGCAATGGCCGACAGCGCCATGTCCTCCGGAACTCCAAACACATGCACCGTTTCAGCAGTGCCGGTTCGTTTCCGGCATGCGTATGCGAAATGAAATAAACAGGCTCCCGGATCCCCTGTACCTGTACACCAAATGAGGTTTAGAGCGGACATTCCGAGTTGCACTCGTCTGGCCATGTACCTCGCAATGCAGGGTTGCGCGGCAATGTGAGATTTGGGGTGCGCCAAAGGATCCGTTCTCGGTAGAGTTGGTACCCTTTCCTTATAAGTTTCTCTTCTTGGAACTGTGTATGTATGTATGTATGTATGTATGTATGTATGTATGTATGTATGAATGTATGTATGTATGTATGTATGTATGTATGTATGTATGTATGTATGTATGTATGTATGTATGTATGTATGTATGTATGTATGTATACTGGTATGTATGTTTATTGCATGTTACGTGAGGGTTGCCTGTACTGCAGCCTGACTGTCTACTGCATATCTAGCCTGCCTACTGATGCTGAACCTAATTTAAACATTGATCTTGATCCTGCAATGCCGTACAATTCGGTATAGGCTATAGTATAATACTAGAATTACACACAAGGGAATGGTCTCAAACTGCGGAGAGTGCTCAATGCAAGCCAGGCAGAGCTTCATCACACACAAGCGGAAAAACCGTCAGAGATCAAATTCCATTACACAGTGTTTCACCGTTCAAGCAACGGATCATCAGATGGATGATCAAACAAAGCATGATACACTCTCTCAAACTGCCCTGTAAGTCAAGTAATAATACTGGCACTCACGGTTGAAAACTTCTGAAGAGAACCTACTGATACTGCCCTAACACCTTACGGTACCATTTAGGCACACAACTTATCACGGGCG